ACTAGACTGTTAAGTATAGTAAGGGGAGGAATAGGAGAAGGATTCTTCCTAAAGTCCACAACCACTTTCCCATGAAGAACTGGGGCTACATCAAAACTGTTTATTTGCCCAGGAATTTTACACTGGGTGTTACTTCAGTTTAGTGTATTTGCTGCCCTTTAACACTGATGTTCTATTTTACTGTATTTTGATTACTTTTTTGTACACCACCTTAATATCTGCAGATGAAGGACAGATTTAATAAGTAACTGATAGTTAATTCATTCATCAAAACAGAGATGAAGTGCATTACAAAATATTGTTTCTTGAAATTCTTTCGAGATTTTATTACTTGTAACTAAAAGTACAGTAAAACCCTGATTTAAACGACCCTGTATCATTTACAGGGAAAAGTAGTATCCACTATATCTCAATACAAATGCCATAAATTTACATGAATCATCTGGACTACTTCAGATATAATGAATATTTTTTATTAATTTCAATGGATGTCTGGACACAGATTTTATCCATTGCATCCAAAATTCACTAAATCAGAGTCCAAAATTTCATTGTACTACATAGAACGCCTACTGTGTGCCAGAGATGAGAAAAAAATGAAGAAACTGTTTGAAGACTTTGTAGCATTCTGAAAACCTAATAGTAAGATGTATAAAGAATTTAACAAAAGTGTCAACATGCAAGACTAGTAAGGTATAAATGATACAGAGGAGTAAATTTTCTCATAAAAATTTAATCTAAAATAGTTTCTGCTATGATATGGAGTTATTTTTCAAAATACTCTAATATATTCGGTAGCCCTGGGAATGTCAAATTGCTTTATCATAAAGGATGTCCAAATTAAAATTATATATATACACACAGGTCAGAGGTGCAGTATATATCTTTAAAATAAGGAATTATACCCTTATTTTATTATACCCAAGAACCTTAGATGTACTATATTAGAACATAATCCTCTTCTTTCAATTCACAAACTGTCTAAACCAAAATAATTTATTATTGTATGCATATTTGTTTTATTGAGAAATATATTTACTTCAAATAAATTCAGTTTCCTTAAAATAAATCCATTACATATTGTTACATGCCTTTCTTCTGTCCATAAGGCAATGGGAAAGTTTGCTGCCATTTCTCATTTAAAATATATATTTCTCCTGATATAACCTGTTAGCTATTATCTGGACACAGTGAGATTTGATTCATACATAACTAATTTTCAATTGCTGCTTTTGTTCAGAAGCAACCACATCACCTCGGTAACAAATATTTGGATCTCTGTATTAGGGTTCAAGAAGGAAGAACAGAATCAAGGCAACAGGAATGATACCTTCTAAAGTTGTTTCGTTCCCATCCAGTGAAGGTCCATCACCATCTTCATATTCTGCAATCACACTGACGGCATATGTGGTTTTTGGTAGTAAATTAGTAAGAACTCTGTTAGTAACTGGAGCTGGTACAGAAACCCTGACTTCCTCTCCACCAATAGCCTCTTTATACTTGATAAGGTAAGACAAAACATTTGCCCCAGCTGGAGACCAGTTAACTTTGAAGCTGTTAGAAGTCACTTCAGAAAATTCCAAGTTCCTTGCAGGTAAGTGAGCTGTTAAAAATAAGAGTTTAGTAAGCAAAGCACAGTTAGAAAAATTCCAGAAATATATGGAAAAAAACCTGATGTCTCTATATAGTAATGTCTTATTGATCTTGCTTACCAAGCTACCCATATCTTAAATAAAAACATATCTCTGATTAATCTTACCCTGGAAAAAAAAAAGAAATTCAAAATATTTTCAACTTTCTAGCTAGTATGCTTCATATGTACAAAACAATAACCACAGCATGACTTATCCAAGAAACTTTGAGCAACGAAAAAACAAAACAGAGGATTACATTAAAACAAAAAACAGCTAAAACTGCATTGAGGCTCAATAAAACCCCAAACCACTGGACATATGCACCCATGCCAGAGCTCCTAACTAACATCCCACCAATGCCTGGAGGAAAAGCCAGGTCTTCATGATCCTCTGCACTGGCTTAACTACCTATTAACAAAGAGAGGATGTATTCACTAAATTTAACCAACTGAGGTGCAGACTTCAGAAATATTCCCTTCAAATTTTCAAGAAAACAAGAAAGCATAATATTTATTTTGGAAGAGGCACAGCATACTCTGCTTTAAATAAATAACAGCAAAACCAAAAAAATCCATTTCTCTGAGGGCAACTTTATCATGGTAATTAAGAGTCAAATTAGATAGCACAGTGCTAGTATGAGTCTATACCATTCTGATCTCAAATTAAGGCAGAGAATAGTGTAAAGTAGTGAGAAAAGGAGACCATGGTGCAAAGTTCATTTTTTTTCATCTGCACATCTCTTTCTGATATCTGAAGTACACCTGATTCTCTCTGGGGAAGACATTTGCAAGCAGCAAACAAAGGAGCTGGGAATCAGGATATCTCTAGACCAGAACTGCTGTACTGTCACCTTGTTAGGTGCCTTTGGTAACTAAGCCTGTAGATCATAGAATAAGAGTTGGAAGAAGCATTTAGGCCACCAAGTCCAACTCTCTCTTCAGTGCCAAGGATAAAAATTTAAAAAATGCATAAATGGTTTCACTGTCAAACTATTCCTCTTGCCTTCTAGAAACTTCGGACACATTATTCCACACCCTGCACTCAAACAATAAAGAGCAGGTATTTACCTTCTTTTGTGTGATAAGATTTCAGGTATTTAGAGGGTGCTGCTATATCCACCCTGCCCCCCCTCCCCGGTCTTCTTTTCTCAAGACTAAACACAATTAGCTCCTTCAATCTGTCTTCCTCATTATTTTCTAATCTCCTGATCATTCTCATTGCCTTTCCTGGACCCTATTCGAGTTTCCCTGAATCTTCAAAGTGGGGTGCCCAGAATAGGGCAGAACACCCAAAGAGAGGGTTGGCCAAAGCAGAATAAAACAGAATGACTGAAACCCATTATTTGGAAACTACACTTTAGTTGAGGCGGCCTTAAATTGCATTTGCCTTTTGGTTGCAAGTTCACACCATAGACTCCACATCTACTGCACAGGCAACATTAATACTAACCTAGTATTTTTATGCATGTATTTATTTCACTTGTATGTCTCCAAACCAGCTACAGACTCATGCTGGTTTATGATAAAAATCAGCAATAAAAACAGCCAGAGAACAGAATCAAAATTAAAATGTCCACAGGAAACTAGAAAATAAAATAGAACTAACCTACTTATCAAAATGCAAAAAATGCACAAGATATTATAAAAATATTACTACTAATAATAATAACAATAATGGTAATATAAACAAAAGTAAAATAAAGTAAAATAAAAATAGAGATGGTGACTACAAGCTATCCACCAAATGTTCTTTGGAAAAATTCCATCTTACATAGAAGGAATGGAGCAAGCCTTAATTCTAAAGAGAGATGAGGCTGGAGCTGCACTTGAAAAACAGTTTCCTGATTCCATTCCCCTCATCTCACAAAAGTGAGGAATATGCAAAAGCTTCTTTTTGGAAGAACACATTGGATGGGCTGATTCAGAAATATTGCAATTATTTCACAACATAATGCATGCAAAACATTTTGAATGCTCCAAAGTATTATTATAATTATTACTATGGTTGATCGTTCTACTTCTATTTGCAGGCAAATGGTATTTCTTGCAGCTATTCCAATGCACCATTATTGCTACTTTGTCATGCTGTTGTTTGTAGTCAGTCTGTGCGATCTTCTTGTAGCAGCTAACTAGGTGATCCGCTGTTTCTTCAGCTTCTTTGCAGAGGCGGCATTTGCTCTCTGTTGCTGTCTTCTTCATTCTGGTTTTTTATTCATTTGTTTTTAAGGGTTTGGTTTTTTCAGCCCGAGTTAGGCCCCCTTTCTCT